CGTATTGTTTCGTTTCAATTAGAGGTCGAAGATAGTAGCAGCAGTGCTCTACTTCGCCTCTTTTCAAGAGCGCCGCGTCGCAAAATTCCTGACGCGACCGCTCATGAGTATTTTCTGGCGGTACTAGCTAAGGCAAGTATATCATAAGTTCCATCGAAGGGGCGCTCTGTACTAGGATAGATGAGACTCTCACTCTAAGTTTTGGCCTGCCGTGCGAAACCGCAGACGACTCTGCTGTTTTCGGTGGCGGTCGTGCAGTTGCATTACCAGGCGCAGGTGGCGTGTTGGTAGGACTTCAGCCCGCGGCAAGCAGCTCCTTGCCAAGACACACGGCTGACACAAAAAGCGGAGGCGAGCAGCAAGTTGGTAATCTCCTGGGGAACGGATTTACGCCCACACTTATACTAGTCTATTTACAGGCTCAGGCGCTGAGAGTTGTGCCTTGTTCTAGTCCCTTCTTCTAACCAAACGCGGAAGCAATATTGACACTCCGTGTTCCATGAGTCCGTCGGCCGCCTTTCTAGAAGTCTGCTTTTCTAGGCGCTCTAATTTTTTGGATACGTCGTCTGAGCAAAAAGTGCGGAAGTACATGATTAGTAATCGCGAGCTGCATGCAAGGACGAAAGCCCTCAACTACCGGGACAAGGCTGGCAACAAAATCAATCGGCAATTTGTTCTCTGGGAACACTCCGTCATGGCGCGCCGAGTAGGTTCGCAGCTGGTCGCGAATGGAAAGTACTTGCCCTGCGTTGTTGACGGAAAGCGCGTGGCCTTCTCAGACGACGAGGCGAAGAAGGCTGACATTGCTGAGGGGACCGGCAAAGGGCAATGATATGATGAGAAGAGCGTAGCTCTTTAGAGGGGCTTGGTTTATTTTGAAGCAAGCAGAAGCACACGATGGCGTGCCTGAATCTCTATCAGTGTTTATCTTTGTCAACCATAGACCTGCAGCCCTGCGCAAATGGCAAGTAGAAGTAAGATAAAAACTGCTTTTGTGCCGTCAGGTAATGTTTTTTAGATCACTCCCCCTTACTTTTATGATACATAATGATGATAGTCTGACTAGATTAGTTTGCTGGAATGGCACTCAGTTAGCGAGGCTTCCGTTCATGAAACTCCGGTGCCAGGATTGGACTCTGCGGTCACGCGGCTCCCACGATCGCTGCGGACGTTGCCACCCGAAGAGGTCCTCACGAAATATCAGAAGTGCGTCGTCACTGCACCGCGCGGCGTTTATTCTGCAGGAATCTACGGGCGTGGAGTGCTGAGTGCGGAGAAGAAAGCGGCCCTCACTCTCACCTACGCGAACCACGGTCGGACCAAGGAGGAGCTCTCTTTTGCGTCGATCGCGGAACAATTACGACTTGCCGAGCCCCAGGCGATACAAAGTGATGCTTTTCAGCTCACATGCGACGACAAAGCGAATGGCGAGCATCGGAACGCACTACACAGCAACAGCGGGTCTGCTTCTTCCGCGTCGCGCATCAGATTCAGCGCTTTCGATGACAAATATTTGAGGGATACGGTAATCGCGTTCGACGAGGATGATGCCATTAGTCAAATTCCAGGCGGAGAGAGCGCGAAAGAGCACGTGCATTCTTCTGCTAGTTCTATACATCGTGTCCCTAGCAGCATCTCTCAGGTGAATTCGAAAATCACAACGAAAATATGTGCAGCAGAAGATACAGGCATGCCGAGTACTCTCGTGGTGCCTAGCTCCAATGGTAAAGCAAGCGAGCGAGACTTCTTCAGCGATCTATGTCTGGCCTCAGAAGACGTCCGTGAGTTCCTGGCGCACCTGCGACAGACCGTGAGCGACAGCGAGGACGATGATGCTCTCAGGGACGCGCATTCATTATGCAACTAATATTGCGCTTTTCAATCGTTACTAGCATGTCTATCACCTGTTATATTATAAGTTTGCCGCTTTTTTATTCTAGTGCTAGTCGACGAGAAAGACTTTCGTACTTTCTGAGTCAAACGAAGCCACTTACTGTCTCTCTGATGAGATGACGACTCTGCATAGGTCAGCCTTAAACGATGGATCAGAGTCGCAGTCACGTCTAATGCTCGCCAAGGAAGCGGCCGCTGGAAGTGGCGGAGGCTTTGCGAGTCCGCACCTGACCGAAGCAACAGAGATGGGAAAGACTGTTTCTCAAGCTGAGGAATCTCACACCTTTCCCATGTATGACAAGTTCACGCGCTGTCCTGCGGCGGGTCCTCTCCCCTGCGTCGATTGGGAGTACATCGAGCACGAGCCCAGTTCTGAAACTGCGGTCGACACCGACAACGAGTACACGGAGCTGGAGTACTCTCTTGGCTTTCAATCCAGCGAGGAGTCTGCCCTAGACTTTGTGGACCAACATTAAGTACACTGCTCGACTGAACGCACGATCATTGTAGAAAGACTAGACGTTTTCGCTGGTAAAGCGACAGAATGATAAATCAAAAATCTAGATGGGGCCACAAGTTGTCGACTCTTGTAGGCTGGCATGGTCAGTAGCTAGTTGCTTCTTAGTTGGAACTCCTTGTGCTCTATTTCTCTAAAAGTGAGACGAGGAGGCGGAACAGGCCTTCATTGCAGTGCACCGGGACAATTTCGAGGATGGAAAGTCGCGTGCTCTACGCGGTGGCGACAACGACCTTCACGATTTTTTTGGCGAGGAGCGAGGCAAGCGGCCACCTGGGTAAGCACGCCTTTGGTTGTTTCGCAAGGTTCTTGCGATGTTGATACTAGTACTGCCGTAGATAGTTCTCACAGGATACCTACAGCATAATGTTCGTAGTTGGAAGTATATTCTTTATTTGCGTACTTGCAACTTTTGCTCAAGTAGAAGACGCTGGGTCGAGTGTTTAGTAAAGATTAAGATATGTCATACAAGTATCTCCTCAATCTTCGCCAGTCGTCCACAACTCATGGACAAGTAGACTATTCTTGGTGAAGTTCCTATCGCCATCCTTATCCCATCTAACTGAACAGGCGGCCACGCGTCGCATATCACGTGTCAGAAAAAGTAGAAGTGCGAGACTGGGCAGAAGATCCTTGGTTGGTAGGAGAAGTCTTAGCGGTTGAACCAGACCTGCTTGTAAAAGTGCTGCCTCGCGGCACCGGCGACCTTGAAAGAAGCCTCCCGATTGCGAAGCACGAGAAAAAAGACAAGCTGCCCGGCGAAAGTGGCTCTGTAGAGAGTATTGGCGGTCCGTCTTCTAAAAAGTCAAGAAAATGCGATACTGCTGATGGTGATGCTACCGAAAACGGAGTTCGCCCTCGTGTTGTGGGGGCGCCTCCTGCTGACGTAGAATCGGCACTACCTCTAGCTCTACCGCGCTCATGGTCGTATGTTCGGCCGCTACCATTTGCGAAAGGCCAGGAGGTCTCAGTAGAAGATACTTGCGGAGTATGGCGTGACGGCTTTGTTTGCGAGGACGCCCAGCGTCCAGCGATTCAACTCAAAGGATCACTCAGCATTCTCAAGAACTATTTTCGGATTAGGCCCGTCACTAGTGGACTTTCGAACGAAGAACGCGAACAAGCAGCGTAAGAATTACTTACTCTCTGTGGCTGCCAGCTGTAGCACTGGTTCAACATCTACTTCCACCTAGAGCTCTCTCACTGTCATACAGCTTGTAGAAGTGGTGGCGGCAACGACGTCGACTATAATTGGAGTTTTTTACATGTTGAAGAAAACTTTGAGTACCTAGCATAGCGAGTACAACATGCTCACCATCTACCTACTGGCAGGTGGCGCCACGTCAGATGCACACTCGGGAGGTATGACAACAGCGAGGGAGGCGACAGCGCCAGCGTTGCGAAAACAAGGCTCATGATACAAGATGGCGAGGATTCAGACCTTCGCAAAGATATGGCACCAGAGTCAGTTTTGATAGCCTCAGGAATTAGCTCAACTGTCTACTCTAGTACCAGCGCGCTGACTGCCGTAAGATGTGGGCCCAGACGCTGCCAATAAATGGCCGTCATGTGAAGTCTTGCACACAAGAAAGAGTAGCACCTTCTTAAAAATACCTCGGAAATATTTATTGTTCCTTCCCACTCCAGCCGCCCCCTGCCTTCATCGTACAGGAGCAGCAGGCAAGCGGATCAAAAAGGCCAAAGCGGGTCCTTTTGAAGGAAGGCCCCCTGCTGGACGCTCACGCACGAGCCGACATCTCTTTGTTCTCGCAGGCTGAGATCCGGTTGTTGGCGACGCAGGCGAAGCGCGAAGTAGACACTGGTCAGTTATGAGGGTGTGACTCCGTGCAGTACTACTGCCTCATACTGCAACTTTGATGACCTCACTTGTAAGTGCTTCCATTTGTTACCGTGCTACTACTACTACTACTACTACTACTACTACTACTACTACT